TTTTATATATATATATATATATATATATATATATATATATATATATTGCCTTTGTAAACCAGTAGAAAATAACAATTTTGGATTTACAAACATTCTTTTTGCAAATTTTGGAATAATATTAAGATGTTCTTTGTATAAACAAGGACTCCAACAACCAATTGTATGGCCAACACAGACATCTGATCTCACCATCATCTGGGATTACATGAAGAGACAGAAGCAACTGATACTAAGGCCTAAATCAATAGAAAAATTGTGGAAAATACTGTAAAAACAGTTTTTTTTTTTAAAAATAACACCATGAACTTTTATCATTTAACATCGATTATGCAAATCAAGTCGAAGTTTGGTGTGACCACCCTTTGTCTTCAAAACAGCTCTTTCATAGGTGCACACAGTTTTCCTCCAGCAAGATAAAAAAAAAAAAAAGTTTAATAACAATGCAGAGTAATACAGAAAGCATTCTAAATAGTTTTGAACATTCATGATGTTGCTTGTTTGACTTACGTGTTACACTGGTGATATTAAGAGTGGTTTTAGCTTGCAAAATAGTGCTTATTATGTCCTCGGTATTGGGTAATTGGGTTGCAAATGTTACATTCATTTCAGTGATGATTGACCCACGACTACAGAAGAGAAAGTGCCATAAAGAGTCTTAGAGAAAGAGTGGTATTATACAAGTCTGTCAGATGCTTTTAACAAAACTCATGTACAGTACTATGCAAATGTCTTAGGCATATTAAATTTGTTTTAAGATGGTTTTTTACAAGGACTCCAACAACCAATTGTATGGCCAACACAGACATCTGATCTCACCATCAGCTGGGATTACATGAAGAGACAGAAGCAACTGATACTAAGGCCTAAATCAATAGAAAAATTGTGGAAAATACTGTAAAAACAGTTTTTTTTTTTAAAAATAACACCATGAACTTTTATCATTTAACATCGATTATGCAAATCAAGTCGAAGTTTGGTGTGACCACCCTTTGTCTTCAAAACAGCTCTTTCATAGGTGCACACAGTTTTCAAGGTATGTTCCAAGCATCTTGGAGAAGCTTCAGTTGTTCTATTGATTTAGGTAGGGCTGCAACAACTAATTGATAAAATTGATTATAATGGATAATGCAAATAATTGACAACGGATTTGATTATTGATTAGTCTCGTCTGTGCACTGTGCTCGGAAACCATCAGCTAGTCACGCTGCTTGACAGTAGTGAATATCCCATTTCTATGGACAAAATGCATATGGAAAATAGCAGAGGACACAGAGTTAACTGCTGCGTGAAAGGTATATGATCCAAGTTGTCTGAAACATGAGAATGCTTTATATTTATAAGCGCTTCAAACAAAAACATAAGCATTTAACATGTCTTTCTCTGTCATGCTTTGACAGATGCGTGTGCTGTTTAATGCATCTGACCTCAGTTTCCTCAGTGCAAAACATATATTTTATGGTTGTAGCATTATCTGTAAATGCTAGAAAGTCCCAAGAGTATTTCAATTTTTGCATATTCTGACAACAAGCGAGTCTTGTTAGAAGGGGTGCTGTAAAGGGGGGTAAGGTTAGGATGATTCCAAGGGCCTGACGAGGGAGATGGGGCCCGGAACACGATTTTTACTGAGGGGGACCAACCACTCCCCAACCTCCCTTTTAGTTTTAGAATTCAGTGTTTGTATTTTTTAACCCTTTTTGCTTATAATGTACAGCATAACCTACATAGAAACATTGACTATATTTGTTTTCCTAGGCTTTATATTACACATTGTTTGGAGGCCACCATTGGGTAAGATGTGGAATAACATTGTTTAAAATAATTGATTAAAAGTATTTTTTTTTCATCTGATTAATAAAAAATAAAAAATAAATCGACAGATTATCAAAATAATTAGTTGCAGCCCTAGATTTAAGATTTAGCCTCAGTTACCTCTGTCTGTGTGATCCCATAGGAATGTTTGGATATCTAAAATTGCTATTTCTTATATAGAAGAAAAATGTATAAATTGCTATCTAGATTGTCCTGTAAACCAGAGACTTTTGTCTTCCAAAAATGAATTGTATTCCTATTTAAAAGGAAGAAATACTCACCGGAACTTAATAACGTCCAGTCCAATGAAGGAGGAGAATTTATTTCTAAATAATGGTTCCAACTGTGGAAAACAAGTTGACAATGTCAGGTTCAATATTTAGTTAACAATTCTGAATTTTAATCACAGAAGAAAATACAACATGAAAGAGATTTGATAGTCATTCAGTTGTTTTAACATGATATGAAGTTACTGTTCCAGCAGTTTCCAAATTTTAGTGAATGATAGCATTTACTGTCTAAGTCTTCTTTGTAGTTCTTGTTCAACTGTATGTCTTAACGTACTTGGTCCATCACCAATTAAAGTATTTAAATGCTTGGAGGGAATATTTGCACCCATTTTCACCTTTTGCTTCTGTTATCACAATTATTTATTCACTTATTTTTATTTAAAATATATTTAACTTTTATTTAACTTTTTTTTATCTTGGCAACAGGTTTTTTTTTTTTTTGCTACTTCTTCTACAGGACTTTTCCTGTCTTCTCATAATTATACTCAGATGATCGGCCAGCCAAGCCACACACAAGTTTGGAATTTTATTTTTATTTTTTTAATTTAACTGTTCTTGAGAAATTACTCTAAGACAGGGATCCTCAAATCTGGCCTCTAACCCTAATCAAACACACCTGAACATATTAATCCTAATCAATGTCTTCAGGAACATAAGAAAATCACAGGTAGGTGAGTTTGATCAGGGTTTGAGTTAAACTCTGCGGAGCATTGGCCCTTTAGGGCAAGGTTTGAGGAACCCTGCTCTGAGAAGTTCAATAGTGATGTATTAACATTTAGCAGTAAAATTTGACAGTAAAATATGAACTAATTATTAAAATAGCAACATATTAATATTTAGACCAGGGCATAAATAAAACAGAACACTATTTGCACTGGAGTAAAAATAACCTACATTTCTGTCTATGTGGGGTGCAATTAATTAGGTATACTGCTATCTATGTTAGTGTGCAGAATTAAATACTGAATACATTCCAATGTAAAGAGTCTGTTACTATTTAACTTGCAGTGCAAACGGCACCTTGAATTTTTGCTATGCAACGTACCGCATTTGAGACTTTGTTTTTTCTGGTGTTAAATGCGTCTGAATCTGGATTTGACAGATCATCCACAAAATTTGCATTGCTGGAAAAACTAAAAAGAACTGACTGGGTTGTGCTTGGGGTTGTTGTAGCTGTGGTTATTGTAGGTTGAACTGTTGTATCTGGAGTGGTTTGTAGAATTGTAATTATTGGAGCCCGTGTTGTGGTTGTAGGTTGAACTGTTGTTTTTGGGGTTGTAAGAGGGGCTGTAGATGTAAGTACAGTTGCTGTTGTAGGTGCAATTGTTGTAACCAGGGTTGTAGATTGGGCTGTATTTGTTGTAGGTATGGATGTTGTTGAGTTTGTTGTAACCACAGTTGTAGGTTCAGTTATTAGTGTCGTTTCTGTAGAAGAGGCAGTAGTTGTAAGTGGAGTTGCAGTTGTAGGTGAGTTTGTCGTAACCACGGTTGTAGGTTCAGTTGTTTGTGTTGTTACTGTAGAAGAGGCAGTAGTTCTAAGTGGAGTTGCAGTTGTAGGTGAGGCTGTCGTAACCACGGTTGTAGGTTCAGTTGTTTGTGTTGTTACTGTAGAAGAGGCAGTAGTTCTAAGTGGAGTTGCAGTTGTAGGTGAGGCTGTCGTAACCACGGTTGTAGGTTCAGTTGTTTGTGTTGTTACTGTAGAAGAGGCAGTAGTTCTAAGTGGAGTTGCAGTTGTAGGTGAGGCTGTCGTAACCACGGTTGTAGGTTCAGTTGTTTGTGTTGTTACTGTAGAAGAGGCAGTAGTTCTAAGTGGAGTTGCAGTTGTAGGTGAGGCTGTTGTAACCACAGTTGTAGGTTCAGTTATTAGTGTTGTTTCTGTAGAAGAGGCAGTAGCTGTAAGTGGAGTTGCAGTTGTAGGTGAGTTTGTCGTAACCACAGTTGTAGGTTCAGTTATTCGTGTCGTTTCTGTAGAAGAAGCAGTAGTTGGAAGTGGAGTTGCAGTTGTAGGAGAGTTTGTCGTAACCACAGTTGTAGGTTCAGTTGTTTGTGCCGTTTCTGTAGAAGAGGCAGTAGTTGTAAGAGGAGTTGCAGTTGTAGGTGAGTTTGTCGTAACCACAGTTGTAGGTTCAGTTGTTTGTGTCGTTACTGTAGAAGAGGCAGTAGTTGTAAGAGGAGTTGCAGTTGTAGGTGAGTTTGTCGTAACCACAGTTGTAGGTTCAGTTGTTTGTGTCGTTACTGTAGAAGAGGCAGTAGTTGTAAGAGGAGTTGCAGTTGTAGGTGAGTTTGTCGTAACCACAGTTGTAGGTTCAGTTGTTTGTGTCGTTACTGTAGAAGAGGCAGTAGTTGTAAGAGGAGTTGCAGTTGTAGGTGAGTTTGTCGTAACCACAGTTGTAGGTTCAGTTGTTTGTGTCGTTACTGTAGAAGAGGCAGTAGTTGTAAGAGGAGTTGCAGTTGTAGGTGAGTTTGTCGTAACCACAGTTGTAGGTTCAGTTGTTTGTGTCGTTACTGTAGAAGAGGCAGTAGTTGTAAGAGGAGTTGCAGTTGTAGGTGAGTTTGTCGTAACCACAGTTGTAGGTTCAGTTGTTTGTGTCGTTACTGTAGAAGAGGCAGTAGTTGTAAGAGGAGTTGCAGTTGTAGGTGAGTTTGTCGTAACCACAGTTGTAGGTTCAGTTGTTTGTGTCGTTACTGTAGAAGAGGCAGTAGTTGTAAGAGGAGTTGCAGTTGTAGGTGAGTTTGTCGTAACCACAGTTGTAGGTTCAGTTGTTTGTGTCGTTACTGTAGAAGAGGCAGTAGTTGTAAGAGGAGTTGCAGTTGTAGGTGAGTTTGTCGTAACCACAGTTGTAGGTTCAGTTGTTTGTGTCGTTACTGTAGAAGAGGCAGTAGTTGTAAGAGGAGTTGCAGTTGTAGGTGAGTTTGTCGTAACCACAGTTGTAGGTTCAGTTGTTTGTGTCGTTACTGTAGAAGAGGCAGTAGTTGTAAGAGGAGTTGCAGTTGTAGGTGAGTTTGTCGTAACCACAGTTGTAGGTTCAGTTGTTTGTGTCGTTACTGTAGAAGAGGCAGTAGTTGTAAGAGGAGTTGCAGTTGTAGGTGAGTTTGTCGTAACCACAGTTGTAGGTTCAGTTGTTTGTGTCGTTACTGTAGAAGAGGCAGTAGTTGTAAGAGGAGTTGCAGTTGTAGGTGAGTTTGTCGTAACCACAGTTGTAGGTTCAGTTGTTTGTGTCGTTACTGTAGAAGAGGCAGTAGTTGTAAGAGGAGTTGCAGTTGTAGGTGAGTTTGTCGTAACCACAGTTGTAGGTTCAGTTGTTTGTGTCGTTACTGTAGAAGAGGCAGTAGTTGTAAGAGGAGTTGCAGTTGTAGGTGAGTTTGTCGTAACCACAGTTGTAGGTTCAGTTGTTTGTGTCGTTACTGTAGAAGAGGCAGTAGTTGTAAGAGGAGTTGCAGTTGTAGGTGAGTTTGTCGTAACCACAGTTGTAGGTTCAGTTGTTTGTGTCGTTACTGTAGAAGAGGCAGTAGTTGTAAGAGGAGTTGCAGTTGTAGGTGAGTTTGTCGTAACCACAGTTGTAGGTTCAGTTGTTTGTGTCGTTACTGTAGAAGAGGCAGTAGTTGTAAGAGGAGTTGCAGTTGTAGGTGAGTTTGTCGTAACCACAGTTGTAGGTTCAGTTGTTTGTGTCGTTACTGTAGAAGAGGCAGTAGTTGTAAGAGGAGTTGCAGTTGTAGGTGAGTTTGTCGTAACCACAGTTGTAGGTTCAGTTGTTTGTGTCGTTACTGTAGAAGAGGCAGTAGTTGTAAGAGGAGTTGCAGTTGTAGGTGAGTTTGTCGTAACCACAGTTGTAGGTTCAGTTGTTTGTGTCGTTACTGTAGAAGAGGCAGTAGTTGTAAGAGGAGTTGCAGTTGTAGGTGAGTTTGTCGTAACCACAGTTGTAGGTTCAGTTGTTTGTGTCGTTACTGTAGAAGAGGCAGTAGTTGTAAGAGGAGTTGCAGTTGTAGGTGAGTTTGTCGTAACCACAGTTGTAGGTTCAGTTGTTTGTGTCGTTACTGTAGAAGAGGCAGTAGTTGTAAGAGGAGTTGCAGTTGTAGGTGAGTTTGTCGTAACCACAGTTGTAGGTTCAGTTGTTTGTGTCGTTACTGTAGAAGAGGCAGTAGTTGTAAGAGGAGTTGCAGTTGTAGGTGAGTTTGTCGTAACCACAGTTGTAGGTTCAGTTGTTTGTGTCGTTACTGTAGAAGAGGCAGTAGTTGTAAGAGGAGTTGCAGTTGTAGGTGAGTTTGTCGTAACCACAGTTGTAGGTTCAGTTGTTTGTGTCGTTACTGTAGAAGAGGCAGTAGTTGTAAGAGGAGTTGCAGTTGTAGGTGAGTTTGTCGTAACCACAGTTGTAGGTTCAGTTGTTTGTGTCGTTACTGTAGAAGAGGCAGTAGTTGTAAGAGGAGTTGCAGTTGTAGGTGAGTTTGTCGTAACCACAGTTGTAGGTTCAGTTGTTTGTGTCGTTACTGTAGAAGAGGCAGTAGTTGTAAGAGGAGTTGCAGTTGTAGGTGAGTTTGTCGTAACCACAGTTGTAGGTTCAGTTGTTTGTGTCGTTACTGTAGAAGAGGCAGTAGTTGTAAGAGGAGTTGCAGTTGTAGGTGAGTTTGTCGTAACCACAGTTGTAGGTTCAGTTGTTTGTGTCGTTACTGTAGAAGAGGCAGTAGTTGTAAGAGGAGTTGCAGTTGTAGGTGAGTTTGTCGTAACCACAGTTGTAGGTTCAGTTGTTTGTGCCGTTTCTGTAGAAGAGGCTGTAGTTGGAAGTGGAATTGCAGTTGTAGGTGAGGCTGTTGTAACCACAGTTGTAGGTTCAGTTGTTTGTGCCGTTTCTGTAGAAGAGGCAGTAGTTGGAAGTGGAGTTGCAGTTGTAGGTGAGTTTGTCGTAACCATAGTCGTAGGTTCAGTTGTTTGTGCCGTTTCTGTAGAAGAGGCAGTAGTTGGAAGTGGAGTTGCAGTTGTAGGTGAGTTTGTCGTAACCATAGTCGTAGGTTCAGTTGTTTGTGCCGTTTCTGTAGAAGAGGCAGTAGTTGGAAGTGGAGTTGCAGTTGTAGGTGAGTTTGTCGTAACCATAGTCGTAGGTTCAGTTGTTTGTGCCGTTTCTGTAGAAGAGGCAGTAGTTGGAAGTGGAGTTGCAGTTGTAGGTGAGTTTGTCGTAACCATAGTCGTAGGTTCAGTTGTTTGTGCCGTTTCTGTAGAAGAGGCAGTAGTTGGAAGTGGAGTTGCAGTTGTAGGTGAGTTTGTCGTAACCATAGTCGTAGGTTCAGTTGTTTGTGCCGTTTCTGTAGAAGAGGCAGTAGTTGGAAGTGGAGTTGCAGTTGTAGGTGAGTTTGTCGTAACCATAGTCGTAGGTTCAGTTGTTTGTGCCGTTTCTGTAGAAGAGGCAGTAGTTGGAAGTGGAGTTGCAGTTGTAGGTGAGTTTGTCGTAACCATAGTCGTAGGTTCAGTTGTTTGTGCCGTTTCTGTAGAAGAGGCAGTAGTTGGAAGTGGAGTTGCAGTTGTAGGTGAGTTTGTCGTAACCATAGTCGTAGGTTCAGTTGTTTGTGCCGTTTCTGTAGAAGAGGCAGTAGTTGGAAGTGGAGTTGCAGTTGTAGGTGAGTTTGTCGTAACCATAGTCGTAGGTTCAGTTGTTTGTGCCGTTTCTGTAGAAGAGGCAGTAGTTGGAAGTGGAGTTGCAGTTGTAGGTGAGTTTGTCGTAACCATAGTCGTAGGTTCAGTTGTTTGTGCCGTTTCTGTAGAAGAGGCAGTAGTTGGAAGTGGAGTTGCAGTTGTAGGTGAGTTTGTCGTAACCATAGTCGTAGGTTCAGTTGTTTGTGCCGTTTCTGTAGAAGAGGCAGTAGTTGGAAGTGGAGTTGCAGTTGTAGGTGAGTTTGTCGTAACCATAGTCGTAGGTTCAGTTGTTTGTGCCGTTTCTGTAGAAGAGGCAGTAGTTGGAAGTGGAAGTTCAGTTTTAGGTGAGGTTGTTGATTCAGTTGTTTGTGTCGTTTCTGTAGAAGAGGCAGTAGTTGGAAGTGGAAGTTCAGTTTTAGGTGAGTTTGTTGATTCAGTTGTTTGTGTCGTTTCTGTAGAAGAGGCAGTAGTTGGAAGTGGAAGTTCAGTTTTAGGTGAGGTTGTTGATTCAGTTGTTTGTGTCGTTTCTGTAGAAGAGGCAGTAGTTGGAAGTGGAAGTTCAGTTTTAGGTGAGGTTGTTGATTCAGTTGTTTGTGTCGTTTCTGTAGAAGAGGCAGTAGTTGGAAGTGGAAGTTCAGTTTTAGGTGAGGTTGTTGATTCAGTTGTTTGTGTCGTTTCTGTAGAAGAGGCAGTAGTTGGAAGTGGAAGTTCAGTTTTAGGTGAGGTTGTTGATTCAGTTGTTTGTGTCGTTTCTGTAGAAGAGGCGGTAGTTGGAAGTGGAGTTGCAGTTGTAGGAGAGATTGTCGTAACCACGGTTGTAGGTTCAGTTGTTTGTGCCGTTTCTGTAGAAGAGGCAGTAGTTGTAAGTGGAGTTGCAGTTGTAGGTGCGGTTGTTGCAACCACAGTTGTAGGTTCAGTTATTTGTGTCGTTTCTGTAGAAGAGGCATTAGTTGGAAGTGGAGATTCAGTTGTAGGTGTGGTTGTCGTAACTACAGTTGTTGATTCAGTTGCTTGTGTCGTTTCCGTAGAAGAGGCAGTAGTTGGAAGTGGAGTGTCAGTTGTTGGTGAGTTTGTCGTAACCACAGTCGTAGGTTCAGTTGCTTGTGTCGTTTCCGTAGAAGAGGCAGTAGTTGGAAGTGGAGTGTCAGTTGTTGGTGAGTTTGTCGTAACCACAGTCGTAGGTTCAGTTGTTTGTGTCGTTTCTGTAGAAGAGGCAGTAGTTGGAAGTGGAGATTCAGTTGTAGGTGCGGTTGTCGTAACCACAGTTGTTGATTCAGTTGCTTGTGTCGTTTCCGTAGAAGAGGCAGTAGTTGGAAGTGGAGTGTCAGTTGTTGGTGAGTTTGTCGTAACCACAGTCGTAGGTTCAGTTGTTTGTGTCGTTTCTGTAGAAGAGCCAGTAGTTGGAAGTGGAGGTTCAGTTGTAGGTGCGGTTGTCGTAACCACAGTTGTAGGTTCAGTTATTTGTGTCGTTTCTGTAGAAGAGGCAGTAGTTGGAAGTGGAGGTTCAGTTGTAGGTGAGTTTGTCGTAACCACAGTTGTAAGTTCAGTTATTCGTGTCGTTTCTGTAGAAGAGGCAGTAGTTGGAAGTGGAGTTTCAGTTGTAGGTGAGTTTGTTGATTCAGTTGTTTGTGTCGTTTCTGTAGAAGAGGCAGTAGTTGGAAGTGGAGATTCAGTTGTAGGTGCGGTTGTCGTAACCACAGTTGTTGATTCAGTTGCTTGTGTCGTTTCCGTAGAAGAGGCAGTAGTTGGAAGTGGAGATTCAGTTGTAGGTGCGGTTGTCGTAACCACAGTTGTTGATTCAGTTGCTTGTGTCGTTTCCGTAGAAGAGGCAGTAGTTGGAAGTGGAGATTCAGTTGTAGGTGCGGTTGTCGTAACCACAGTTGTTGATTCAGTTGCTTGTGTCGTTTCCGTAGAAGAGGCAGTAGTTGGAAGTGGAGATTCAGTTGTAGGTGCGGTTGTCGTAACCACAGTTGTTGATTCAGTTGCTTGTGTCGTTTCCGTAGAAGAGGCAGTAGTTGGAAGTGGAGATTCAGTTGTAGGTGCGGTTGTCGTAACCACAGTTGTTGATTCAGTTGCTTGTGTCGTTTCCGTAGAAGAGGCAGTAGTTGGAAGTGGAGATTCAGTTGTAGGTGCGGTTGTCGTAACCACAGTTGTTGATTCAGTTGCTTGTGTCGTTTCCGTAGAAGAGGCAGTAGTTGGAAGTGGAGTTGCAGTTGTAGGTGAGGCTGTTGTAACCACATTTGTAGGTTCAGTTGTTTGTGCCGTTTCCGTAGAAGAGGCAGTAGTTGGAAGTGCAGGTTCAGTTGTAGGTGAGTTTGTCGTAACCACAGTTGTAAGTTCAGTTATTCGTGTCGTTTCTGTAAAAGAGGCAGTAGTTGGAAGTGGAGGTTCAGTTGTAGGTGAGTTTGTTGACTCAGTTTTTTGTGTCGTTTCTGTAGAAGAGGCAGTAGTTTTAAGTGGAGTTGCAGTTGTAGATTTGTTTGTGTCGTTTCTGTAGAAGAGGCAGTAGTTAGAAGAGGAGGTTCAGTTGTAGGTGAGTTTGTTGATTCAGTTGTTTGTGCCGTCTCTGTAGAAGAGGCAGTAGTTAGAAGTGGAGGTTCAGTTGTAGGTGAGTTTGTTGATTCAGTTGTTTGTGTCGTTTCTGTAGAAGAGGCAGTAGTTGGAAGTGGAGTTGCAGTTGTAGATTCAGCTGGAGTTGTTGATGCTGGTGTTATTGTCGCTGATGCTGTTTGAATAGTGGTGCTACATAATACTGTTGTTAAAAATTGAAAAGTAACATTCATTTTAGAGCAATTGTCACATGTAAATAAGTAATAAGAGATACAAAGAATATGGATGATCAGTAGCTTACAGACCTAAACTTAACACTGCAATTATTAGTGCTTTTTTACTCATCTTGGTAGCTGTCAAATAGATCACCTGTAAACATATAATGCACAACATTAGCAAATATGTAAGTAATGGCATAATTTTTGGCAGGTCAAGGTAGTATTTTTTTTTAGATAAAATAACTGCTGCAACATCAACACACAATAAACATATAATATACAACATTAAAGGGGTCATATGATTTTGCTAAAAAGAACATTATTTTGTGTATTTGGTGTAATGAAATGTGTTTATGCGGTTTAAGGTTCAAAAAACACATTATTTTCCACATACTGTACATTATTGTTTCTCCTCTATGCCCCGCCTTTCTGAAACGCGTCGATTTTTACAAAGCTCATCGGTCTGAAAAGCGAGGTGTGCTGTGATTGGCCAGCTATCTAGAGCGTTGTGATTGGCCGAATACCTCAAGCGTGTGATGGAAATGTTACGCCCCTACCATACTGTGTTGATGCCCTGTCCGGCCGGAGCGACGAGACAAAAACGTTAAAACCCATTATAATTTATAAGCGAGGCATTTGTTGCAGCCAGTGGGGACATAATTATTGATTATAATGACTTATACTGTCTTTTTACACGTTGCGTAGCATCACGCCGCATAAACATAAAACCATGTCTGTATTTGTGATCGGAGAAATGACAAACAACAAGCGCTACTCTACACTGCCCAAAACTCGTGTTTGAATCATCAGTGACAAATCCTTTAAATATAAAAACGTACTTACAGTCTGTGAGTCAGAACAGCCGGCATTGTAGTCTACTCTTCCAAGATCAGGAAACAGTCCTCCATAAAATGTGCTGCACACATCTGAATATTTGGGTTGAACGGTTCTGGAACAGTGTTGTAAATACAACTTAACCACTGATTTCTAGTCGTGTCCTCTTTTGGAAGACCAAACAAGGTAGTTTCGCTTTCACAACGAAACACACTGCGGGCTAGAGTGAGCAGCACTCCAAAGAGAAAGGAAAAATTGAAATCGCATCATATGACCCCTTTAACAACCAATCTAATCCTACATCATAAAAACAATACCAGTGTCTGGGGAAAAAACAAACTAATAATAAAAACACCCTCTTTCCAGATGACTTCTTTTCATATTAGATTGTTTTCCGTAAAGTAATGATGATTTGTCATTTTTGCACAGTTCACATAACTGAAGATGATAGTAGTTATCATGAATAACAAAAAATGAGGTAAGAATTACACTACCATGCAAAAGTTTAAGGTCTGCAAGATTTTTTTGAAATATTTTTAAATGTATCTTATGCTCATCAAGACTGCATTTATTTAAAAACACTTTTAAAATTTAAAATATCTGTTTTCTATGTGAATATCTGTTAAACTGTAATGTATTTCTGTGATGCGCAGCTGAATTTTCAGCATCATTACTCCAGTCTTCAGTGTCACATGATCTTCAGAAATCATTCTAATATGCTGATTTGCTGCTCAAGAAACATTTCTGATTATCATCAATGTTGAAAACAGTTGTGCTGCTTCACATTCCAGTGGAAATTGCCACTGTTCATAAATTTAATGCATCCGTACTGAATAAAAGTATTAATTAATTTATTTTTTAAATTGCACTGATTCCAAACTTTTGAATGGTAGTGTAGATAAGAACTTAAATCAAAATAATGAAATAAATTAATTAGAAATGCCATTTTTTTCCAACATCAAGAGTATTAAATATGCACAGTTAAGTACATACATTTTAAAATGTAAAACATTATTAGACTTCATCATGCTTTCCTTATGTTTCATAGCTATTAATTTTTTTATGTATTATTGTACCCTATTTCATTAATTTTTTTTATCTTTAACGTCTGAGGAAATTTACAAAGATAACTCCAACTGCATCTTGACCTTTAAACAATTTAAAATATTTTTACTTAAGCACTCATTCTTGCTGTTGAAGTGTCAGCCATTTATTAAATGTGTTTGGTGCACAAGGTCTGCTTTTGTTTAACCCTTATATAATACATTTATTTGTATAGCGCTTTATACAATTATTTCATAGCAGCTCTACAGAAATAAGCAGGAAAATTATGGAATTCCTTAAATTTCAGCCCTTAAAGCAGTTCTACAGAAGTCAATGGTCATTATTCAGCTTTTTTCTGTGTTAAAAATAAATGAATAATGCTAAATATATATAATACTAAAATCATAAATTAAATTATAACAAATAATCTCAGAAACTATTTATATATGGTTATGAGTATAAATCAGGATGGATGGCTATAGTCATACGCAAACAAGTCAAACTCACCCAATCCATTTTGTACCTCAGTACAATTTCTTACAAGTGAAGTTGTAAGTCCCTTGATAAAAGCAGGTAAACTCATGCTCTCCTCAAAGTCCATGTTTATATTAGCTCTGTTTCGAGTCACATGTCACAAATCACATAGTTGTCAGTCTAAGTGGTGATGCATTGTTAATCCATTCCATCTTTAACCAAACTGGTTATACCTACGTATCCAACAATGCATTCCTCCCTAAGCATGCAGTCTTAAGAAATGCTGATGTTGAAACCAAGTGTTAATGGAGTGTTAAGCAAGTGTTAACTCATATTGTAGACTGCTATAACAGTGTAACAGTGTATTGATTTTTGATCATTCATTGCATGTTAATTGCAAACATAATGTAATACCTTTTAGAACAATGTCTTGCCAAACTTCTATGTGTTTATTTCTTGTGTTGAACACATTGGACCCCATTGGCTTTCATTGTCTGTACAAATAAACACTAAATGCACAATGTGAGAGTTTGAAATGACATGAGGGTGAGTAAATGACGACAGAATTGTTATAGTTTGGTAAACTATGCCTTTCATTATGGCACAATGAACTGGTTGCGAAGACGAAACAAAGAGGAAAAAGGGAGGAAAAAACAAATCCAAGATGACGGAAAATCAAGTTGCTGCTTTAACTGAGTTGTGTTTATTGAGAGTTCATCTAGTCATGAGGTTTTGTTGTCGAGATGAGGAACTGATATCACAAATCTTTCAAAGTTTTTGCTGTAAAGTTGCTTTGCAACGATTTGTATCGTGAAAAGCGCTATACAAATAAACTTGAATTGAAAGTTGTTGTGTATGTTTTCGTGATAAAGTGTTGCATATTATCAAGCCATCCCATCCGTTTGAGTTTTTCCCAGATGATGGGTTGTAATTTTTCCAAGTTGTTCTACAGGTATCATGTTAACTCATCTTTGAGATCAGAGATGCCCAAACTAGGGCCCGTGGTGACCTTTAATTTGGCCCATCATGCGAAATTATACAAGAAAAGGGGGAAAATGCTATTGATGCTAGGCCTGTCGCGATAATTACTATATTGACTTATCGTACAAAATATGGACATGACCGCGATAAGTTATGGTGATGCAATATTGCCCATTGTGTTTACATGCATGTTTGTTTACATAAAAAGTTTTGATTTTTGGCCTTTCATAGGAAACAGTTTGTGCTCCTCTGTTTTAGATCATCAAATCCAACAGTCTACAAGCTTACATAATCTGTGAGGTGTTTGCATATCCGTCTATCTATCTGCTAAAGGAATATGGTCAATCCGAATGTGCTTTTTTCAATCTAAAAAGATTTAATCTGACATATTGTACATATATCAATATGATCATATATCAAGATTTTATAGCAGCTTACACATGAGGAAAATCACAAGCAATTTGTCGTAGGAGCCAACAATATTCCTAGAACACAATTTTAAAATGAAAATACAAGATTAGTATGTAAGCGACAAAAGAGGTGAAATAATATAAAGAGCAAAGGTTTTGCATGTTATTGTTTATATGCATAGATGATTTTCATTTATAGACATTGCATAATTTACACCTGTGGCACTACAACAAATAGAATAACCATACACTATTTCTATGTACAACCTTTAATATATTTGATACATTGTTGAAATGAAAGTTAGTCTTAATTAAACCAACATTAAACCTGTTCTTCCATCTCATTTTGGTTTCAGTCTTTGTTTGTTTGTTTGTGGGTGTGTGGCACTTAGTCATATGATCTGCTTGACGTTCAGTAACCACAAAAACATTTCAGCTTCTACATTCCTTATATTCCAGATCTGTATCCATTAAGATGCGTTTAGCAGGAAGTTTCTGTTTTTGGCTCTTCCACATTTGTCGAAGAGCCAAATATATGCTCTCTGACGCACACACTTTGCTTTTAAGTCAGTTTATATGACCGTTTCATGGTCTTGAAACTGTTTTCATCACTGTGACTTGATTAACCAATGGGTAATTAAAGGTGATTGTTTTAAACACAGGTACTTTGGGAGTGTTGAAGACAAAAACAGTGGTGCTTTTCACTGAGTTCACAGAGTTATCTGCATTTCCGTCTCTGCTGGTTTTGCTTGACAATGGTGGGTTTGTTAGACCTGCTGGTGTTGAAGATATGTTGTTTGACCAGGTGTCTTTGATTGTAGTACCTTCTGAATCAGACCTGTTTAGCCCCGTTTGAGTTAATATCCCCAAAGTTGAGCCTCTGTGTTCATGTGCTAATGGAGTGGTGACGGGTTTTGAGTCATTGCTTGTGGCTGTGAGAGGAGATGGTGGTGGAGAAATTGGGTTTAAGGAGGTCTGAGTGTTCGTTTTTTGGTTTTCCTGAGTGGTTGGAAACATTGAGGGCGTGTTCATAGATGTGGATTTTGAATCAGATGTCACTGCTTGTCTTGAAACTGTTCCCTGTAAAGTAAAGAGAAAAGGAGAATGGTTGAATAAGAGACCCACACTGTACGTTTTTACAGAAGAAGGCTTTGAACAGTTAATACCACTTAACTGGTTAACTATAGTAATTGTATATGGTTTAACATCACATTATATGTAATTTTACTGTGAAATACTATTAATTTAATGGTTTTTGCAATTAAAAATGAATTACCTAAAATCATTAAAAGGACAGAAGTCCCTGTGTGATGCATCACATATGAGAATATTTTATTTAAATAGTTTTGTATTTTCTGTTATTTAGTTAATGTTTATTGTTATTTTAGTGTAGTGTATGTGACCCTGTGCACTGTCTATATATTGGGCATGTTTTATGGAAAGGCCATATAACTTTCTATTTGACAACCTGTATTATTTTAATTATCAGTATATTTTAAGCTAACATGCTCATCTTTGTAGTTCAGGTAGCTCAAGATGGTTAGAGGTGGTTATAGAAAAGAGGGTTACACTTTACTTGAAGGGGTGTGCATAAGACTGACATGACACCTTCATAATCATGACATGACACCTACATAATCATGACATGACACGTCATGAATATGAAGGTTTTTTTATGCATGTTTATGACAACTGTCATGAAGTGTCATTCGCTCAATTATGTAATTTTTAATGCAAAGATTATATTGTTTGAGATGTCTTTGTTATGGGCTATGGTTAGGGGTAAGGGTAGGGGTTAGGTTAGGTTAGGGTTAGGTCAAATAATGTCATATTTGCATTAAAATTACATAACTGAGCGAATGACACTTAATGACAGTTGTCATAAACATGCATAAAACCTCCTTCATATTCATGACATGTGTCATGTCATGATTATGAAGGTGTCATGTCAGTCTTATGCACACCCCTTCAAGTAAAGTGTTACCGAAAAGAGATTTAAATATTGGTCAATATTGTTCTGTTGAGAGATTTAAGTATTGGTCGAAATTGTTCTATTAAGGTTCAAGTTTCAAGTTTAGTTGCACCATTAAAACAGAGACAGCTGACCAAAGTGCTTTACAACATCAACTAAAAGAAGCAAAAGAGTGATGCATTTTGGACCAATTGAAGATGGGCCAAAGAAGTGGCATTCATTCCACAATACAATGAGTTACAGTAATCTAAACATGATGAAATAAAAACATGAATCACGCTTTCAAAGTCTTGAAAGGAAAGAAAAGGCTTGATTTTAGAAAGAAGATGGAGATTAAAGAAGCAAGATCTAACCACTGAATTTACTTGCTTATCAAATTTCAACTCGCTGTCAATCAAGACAGAAATTTATTAAGAGATTTCAATATTTGTCAATATTGTTCTCTGAAGTGATTTAAATATTGGTTGGTTTTGTTCTATTAAGAGAATTAATTATCGGTCAGTTTTCTTATATTAAGTGATTCAAATGTCAGCTGTTTTGTTGTCAGCAAGAGTAAGCAATTCTCGAAAAGTATTAATGAAAATTTGGCTGTTTGTCGCAAGGTGTATTCTGAAGAAGTCTGAAAACTCTGATGCTCGTTCAAATGCATGATGATTCAAAAGTACAGTATGACTTGTGGTTTGCTTGTGCAGTTTGTGCATGTTGTAAAGAGAACAGTGCCTGAGTTTGCAGATGGTTGGGAACCAGCGTTGCTGTTGTTGTAGATGTTCCATGTAGAGTTGATGCTCTGAAAGCAGTTCCAGAAGACACACCGGGGGACGGAAGTGAAGATCCTGTATTTGTCGTAGTCACAATCGTTGCAGTTGTCGATTCAGAAAATGCCATCTGCTTTGTGACACTACTGTTGGTGGAAATTTCGGTTGTTGGCTCAGGGTTTTCGGTACCAGTTAAAGTTCCAGCAGTCCAAGAAATGGATATATTGCTGTGTGATGTTTGCTTTACATCATTCTGTGTATTGGAACCAATGGTGGTAATGGAATCATTGTTTGCATGAATTGAAGTCAGTGTAGTTGTCTCAGATTTTGTTGAGGTGTCCGTGCTAGTTGTTTTAGCGCTTCCTGTCGAACTGATCCCATGTGCAGTGGCATTGGTTAATGGCTCCATTGTTTGAGTGGCAGTGCTTTGGTGGTTTGATGTTGAGTTAGAAGTGTCACTGAGAGAAGTGTTCTTCAGCTGTGTTGTTGCTTGAATGGCGGGGTAAGACTCGGTTGTACTTGTGGTTGTGAGGGGATTTGGTTCTGAGGTTGTTGTGAAGATGGATGAACTTGAGTCTGGAGTTGTTGAAGAGGAAATTGTTGTATTTGTCGATTGATTTGATGTGATGGACACTTGAGTATGGTCTGATGACTCAAGCTGTTGTGTTGTCATTGCAGTGGAGTATGACGTTCCAGAAGATGCATCTGAGGATGGAAATGAAGATCCTGTAGTTGTTGTAGGTGCAATCATTGTTGTCGATTCAGAAAATGCTGTCTGCTTTGTGACAGTACTGTTGGTTGAAGTTTTGGTTGTTGCTTCAAGTTTTTGTGTACTAGTTAATGTTCCAGCAGTCCAAGCAATTGATATATTGCTGTCTGAGGTTTGCTCTACATCATTTTGTGTATTGGAATCAATGGTGGTAATGGAATCATTGTTTGCATGAATTGAAGTCAGTGTAGTTGTCTCAGATGTTGTGGATGTGTCCGTGCTAGTTGTTTTAGCGCTTCCTGTCGAACTGATCCCATGTGCAGTGGCATTGGTTAAGGGCTCAATTTTTTGAGTTGCAGTGCTTTGGTGATTTGATGTCGAGTCAGAAGTGTCACTAAGAGAAGTGTTCTTTAGTGGTGTAGTTGCTTGAATGGCGGAGTAAGACTCGGTTGTACTTGTAGTTGTGAGGGGATTTGGTTCTGAGGTTGTTGTGAAGATGGATGAACTTGAGTCTGGAGTTTTTGTAGAGGAAATTGTTGTAGTTGTCGATTGATTTGATGTGATGGACACTTGAGTATAGTCTGATGACTCAAGCTCTTGTGTTGTTATTGCAGTGGAGTATGATGTTCCAGAAGATGCATCTGAGGATGGAAATGAAGATCCTGTAGTTGTTGTAGGTGCAATCATTGTTGTCGATTCAGAAAATGCTGTCTGCTCTGTGACACTACTGTTTGTTGAATTTTCGGTTGTTGCTTCAAGATGTTTTGTACTAGTTAATGTTCCAGCAGTCCAAGAAATTGATATATTGCTGTCTGAGGTTTGCTCTACATCATTCTGTGTATTGGAATCAATGGTGGTAATGGAATCATTGTTTGCATGAATTGAAGTCAGTGTAGTTGTCTCAGAAGTTGTTGGTGTGTCCGTGCTAGTTGTTTTAGTGCTTACTGTCGAACTGATCCCATGTGCAGTGGCATTGGTTAAGGGCTCCATTTTTTGAGTTGCAGTGCTTTGGTGAATTGATGGTGAGTCAGAAGTGTCACTAAGAGAAGTGTTCTTTAGTGGTGTAGTTGCTTGAATGGCGGAGTAATAATCGGTTGTACTTGTAGTTGTGAGGGGATTTGGTTTTGTGGTTGTTGTGAAGATGGATGAACTTGAGTCATATGCTCTCTAAATCACCCACTTTGCTTTGAAGTCATTTTATGTGACCGTTTCATGGTCTTAAAACTGTGTTCATGACTGTGACTTGATTAACCAGTGGGTGATTGAAGGTGATTATTTTAAACACAGGTACTTTGGGAATGTTGAAGACAAAAACAATGGTGCTTTTCACTGAGTTTGCAGAATCATCTGCGTTTCCGTCTCTGCTGGTGTTGCTTGATAACGGTGGGTTTGTTAGACCTGCTGGTGTTGAAGATATGCTGTTTGACCAGGTGTCTGTGATTGTAGTGCCTTCTGAATCAGACCTGTTTAGCGCTGTTTGAATTGATATGCCCACAGTTGAGCCTTTGTGTTCCTCAGCTAATGGAGTGGTGACAGGTTTAGGGTCACTGCTTGTGGCTGTGAGAGGAGATGCTGGAGAAAATGGGTTTAAGGAGGCGTTTGTGTTCGTTTTCTGATTTTCCTGAGTGGTCAGAAACATTGAGGGCGTGTTCATAGATGTGGGCTTTGAATCAGGTGTCATTGCTTGTCTTGAAACTGTTCCCTGTAAAGAAAGATAAAAAGAAAGTGGTTGAATGAGAGACCCATGCTGTAAAAAAATAATTAGTTTTTACAGTAGAAGGCTTTAAACAGTTATCACCTCTTAACTGGTTAACGATAAACTACCTTAGCACATACCATAGTGTGAAAAATTGTATATGATTTTATTATAAAATACTATCAATTTTATGGTTTTGGCAATCAAAAGGAATTAAAAATCATTAAAAGGACAGAAGTCCCTGCATAACTATGATAATATGATGATATTGATATGATATGATAATATTTTATTTGAATAGTTTTGTTTCTTTTACATTTTTGTTATAAATAAACTGACTTTAACTACTTGAGCTACTTGAACTAGAAAAATGTGTTTAAATATTGACAGGTTTTCTTCTATTAAGAGAATTAAGAGATTTAAATGTTGGTCGGTTTTGATCTATTAGGAGATTTAAATGTTGTTCAGGTTTGGTCTGCTAAGTTATTTAACTGTTGGCTGTTAGGGTTAGGTTAACGAAAGAATTAATGATGAATTAATAAAAATGTGGTTGGTTGTCACAGGTGAAATTCTGGAAAAGTCTGATGCACAGTCAAATGCATGAGCATTCAAAAGTACAGTATGACTAGTGGTTTGTTTGTGCGATGTGTACATGTTGTGTAGAATATGCTGCTAACCGGCGTTGGTGTTGTTGTAGATGTTGATGCTGTGAAAGCAGTTACAGGTGTTTGCGAGTGCTCTGGGTTGGGGATTTTAGGTGTAGCTGTAACTTGTGCCGCTATGACAGGTCTTGAGGTCTCAACAAGTGTTGTTGAGTCTGAGGAAGTAACCAGACTTGGATTTAGAGTTGTGTCAGTTGTTGCGGACTGAGATGATTGCGATTCCATCACAGGTGTCAGAGTTTCTTGACCGTCAGTTGGCAGACTTTCTGATTGAGATGACTCAGATGTTGTTTCATTTAAGGTTATCAGTGTGCTATTAAAGTCGTCTATCAATGTAAACTCATTCCATGTTGTGTTATCAGAAGAGGACCAAAACACATCAGTTAAATGTTCAGTGTTATTTTCTGTGGCTGATGCAGTGTCGTCGACGGCTGAAATTGCATTTGTAGTCGATTCCACAGGTGTTTTGATAGTCGATGCTATTTCAGTATCGGTTGTGTCATCCGGTGGGTCAATTGTTAATGATTCCTCCGTCGGCTCTGTTGCACTTTGGGAAGTTTGCTTTGTATTTGTAGCTGACATTGAGGTTGTAAATGAAGGCTCTGCCGTGATAGACGTAGAATCCAAATCATCTGATGTGATGGAGGTTTGAGTGTGATCTGGTGACTGTTGTGATGTGTTCGCAGTGGAGTGTGATGTTCCAGAAGATGCGTCAGAGGACAGAAATCCTGCAGTCATTGTCCTTGTGTATTCAGAAAATGCCGTCTGATCTGTGACACTTCTGCTGGAGGAAGTTGAGGTTGTAACAGAAGGCTCTGTAATCTTTGCATTGGTTGGTGTGATTTGCGACGATGTAGTCTGAAGAAGTGCAGAGGCAGCAGCAATTGTTTGAGACATTTGTGTTTGCAGGTGGCTGAAAGACGTAGTATCTAATTCATTTGTAGATTGGTAGATTGATGGTGAGTCAGAAGTGTCACTGAGAGAAGTGTTCTTCAGTGGTGTAGTTGCTTGAATGGCGGAGTAAGACTCGGTTGTACTTGTAGTTGTGAGGGGATTTGGTTTTGTGGTTGTTGTGAAGATGGATGAACTTGAGTCTGGAGTTTTTGTAGAGGAAATTGTTGTAGTTGTCGATTGATTTGATGTGATGGACACTTTAGTATGGTCTGATGACTCAAGCTGTTGTGTTGTTGTCGCAGTGGAATATGATGTTTCAGAAGACACATAAGAGGACGGAAATGAAGATCCTGTCTTTGTTGTAATCGCAATTGTTGTTGTTGTCGTCGATTCAGAAAATGTCATTTTCTTCGTGCCACTACTTTTGGTTGAAGATTCGGTTGTTGGTTCAGGTTTTTGGGTACCAGTTAATGTTCCAGCAGTCCAAGAAATGGATATATTGCTGTCTGAGGTTTGCTCTACATCATTCTGTGTATTGGAATCAATGGTGGTAATGGAATCATTGTTTGCATGAAATGAAGTCATTGCTGGTGTCTGAGATATTGTTGATGTGTCCGTGCTAGTTGTTCTAGCGCTTCCTGTTGAACTGATCCCATGTGCAGTGGCATTGGTTAATGGCTCCATTGTTTGAGTGGCAGTGCTTTGGTGGTTTGATGTTGAGTTAGAAGTGTCGCTGAGAGAAGTGTTCTTCAGTGGTGTAGTTGCTTGAATGGCGGAGTAAGACTCGGTTGTACTTGTAGTTGTGAGGGGATTTGGTTCTGAGGTTGTTGTGAAGATGGATGAACTTGAGTCTGGAGTTTTTGTAGAGGAAATTGTTGTAGTTGTCGATTGATTTGATGTGATGGACACTTGAGTATGGTCTGATGACTCAAGCTCTTGTGTTGTCATTGCAGTGGAGTATGATGTTCCAGAAGATGCATCTGAGGATGGAAATGAAGATGCTGTAGTTGTCGTAGTCACAATCGTTGTTGTTGTCGATTTAGAAAATGCCGTCTGCTTCGTGTCAATACTTTTGGTTGAAAATTTGGTTGTTGGTTCAGGTTTTTGGATACCAGATAATGTTCCAGCAGTCCAAGAAATGGATATATTGCTGTCTGAGGTTTGCTCTACATCATTCTGTGTATTGGAATCAATGGTGGTAATGGAATCATTGTTTGCATGAATTGAAGTCAGTGTAGGTGTCTCAGATGTTGTTGATGTGTCCATGCTAGTTGATTTAGCACTTCCTGTTGAACTGATCCCATGTGCAGTGGCATTGGTTAATGGCTCCATTGTTTGAGTGGCAGTGCTTTGGTGGTTTGATGTTGAGTTAGAAGTGTCACTGAGAGAATTGTTCTTCAGTGATGCAGTTGCTTGAATGGTGGAGTAAGACTCGGTTGTACCTGTAGTTGTGAGGGGATTTGATTCTGAGGTTGTTGTCAAGATTGATGAACTTGAGTCTGGAGTTGTTGTAGGGGAAATCATTGTCGTTGTCAATTTATTTGATATGATGGAGACTTTAGTATGGTCTGATGACTCAAGCTGTTGTGTTGTTGTCGCAGTGGAGTATGATGTTCCAGAAGACACATCAGAGGACGGAAAGGAAGATCCTGTATTTGTCGTAGTCACAATCATTGTTGTTGTTGTCGATTCAGAAAATGCCGTCTGCTTCGTGTCACTACTTTTGGTTGAAGATTTGGTTGTTGTTTCAGGTTTTTGGGTACCAGTTAATGTTCCAGCAGTCCAAGAAATGGATATATTGCTGTGTGATATTTGCTCTACATCATTCTGTGTATTGGAATCAATGGTGGTAATGGAATCATTGTTTGCATGAAATGAAGTCATTGCTGGTGTCTGAGATATTGTTGATGTGTCCGTGCTAGTTGTTCTAGCGCTTCCTGTTGAACTGATCCCATGTGCAGTGGCATTGGTTAATGGCTCCATTGTTTGAGTGGCAGTGCTTTGGTGGTTTGATGTTGAGTTAGAAGTGTCGCTGAGAGAAGTGTCATTCAATTGTGTTGCTGCTTGAATGGCGGAGTAATAATCGGTTGTACTTGTAGTTGTGAGGGGATTTGGTTCTGAGGTTGTTGTGAAGATGGATGAACTTGAGTCTGGAGTTTTAGAAGAGGAAGTTATGTTAGTCGTCGATTGATTTGATGTGATGGACACTTGAGTATGGTCTGATGACTCAAGCTCTTGTGTTGTCATTGCAGTGGAGTATGATGTTCCAGAAGATGCATCTGAGGATGGAAATGAAGATCCTGTAGTTGTTGTAGGTGCAATCATTGTTGTCGATTCAGAAAATGCGGTCTGCTCTGTGACACTACTGTTGGTTGAATTTTCGGTTGTTGCTTCAAGATTTTTTGTACTAGTTAATGTTCCAGCAGTCCAAGAAATTGATATATTGCTGTCTGAGGTTTGCTCTACATCATTCTGTGTATTGAAATCAATGGTGGTAATGGAATCATTGTTTGCATGAACTGAAGACAGTGTAGGTGTCTCAGATGTTGTTGATGTGTCCATGCTAGTTGTTTTAGCACTTCCTGTTGAACTGATCCCACGTGCAGTGGCATTGGTTAATGGCTCCATTGTTTGAGTGGCAGTGCTTTGGTGGTTTGATGTTGAGTTAGAAGTGTCGCTGAGAGAAGTGTTCTTCAGTGGTGTAGTTGATTGAATGGCGGAGTAAGACTCGGTTGTACTTGTAGTTGTGAGGGGATTTGGTTCTGAGGTTGTTGTGAAGATGGATGAACTTGAGTCTGGAGTTGTTGTAGGGGAAATCATTGTCGTTGTCAATTTATTTGATGTGATGGAGACTTTAGTATGGTCTGATGACTCAAGCTGTTGTTTTGTTGTCGCAGTGGAGTATGATGTTCCAGAAGACACGTCAGAGGACGGAAATGAAGATCCTGTATTTGGCAGTGGAATATGATGTTTCAGAAGACACATAAGAGGACGGAAATGAAGATCCTGTCTTTGTTGTAATCGCAATTGTTGTTGTTGTCGTCGATTCAGAAAATGTCATTTTCTTCGTGCCACTACTTTTGGTTGAAGATTCGGATGTTGGTTCAGGTTTTTGGGTACCAGTTAATGTTCCAGCAGTCCAAGAAATGGATATATTGCTGTCTGAGGTTTGCTCTACATCATTCTGTTTAATGGAATCAATGGTGGTAATGGAATCATTGTTTGCATGAATTGAAGTCAGTGTAGTTGTCTCAGATGTTGTTGATGTGTCCGTGCTAGTTGTTTTAGCGCTTCCTGTTGAACTGATCCCATGTGCAGTGGCATTGGTTAATGGCTCCATTGTTTGAGTGGCAGTGCTTTGGTGGTTTGATGTTGAGTTAGAAGTGTCACTGAGAGAAGTGTTCTTCAGCTGTGTTGTTGCTTGAATGGCGGGGGAAGACTCGGTTGTACTTGTGGTTGTGAGGGGATTTGGTTCTGAGGTTGTTGTGAAGATGGATGAACTTGAGTCTGGAGTTGATGTAGAGGAAATTGTTGTAGTTGTCGATTGATTTGATGTGATGGACACTTGAGTATTGTCTGATGACTGAAGCTGTTGTTTTGTTGTCACAGTGGAGTATGATGTTCCAGAAGACACATCAGAGGATGGAAATGAAGATCCTGTATTTGTCGTAGTCACAATCGTTGTTGTTGTCGATTCAGAAAATGCCATCTGCTTCGTGTCACTACTGTTGGTTGAAGAATCGGATGTTGGTTCAGGTTTTTGGGTACCAGTTAATGTTCCAGCAGTCCAAGAAATGGATATATTGCTGTCTGAGGTTTGCTCTACATCATTCTGTGTATTGGAATCAATGGTGGTAATGGAATCATTGTTTGCATGAATTGAAGTCAGTGTAGTTGTCTCAGATTTTGTTGATGTGTCCGTGCTAGTTGTTTTAGCACTTCCTGTTGAACTGATATCATGTGCAGTGGCATTGGTTAAGGGCTCAATTTTTTGAGTTGCAGTGCTTTGGTGATTTGATGTTGAGTCAGAAGTGTCACTAAGAGTCATTGTCGATTCATTTGATGTGATGGAGACTTGAGTATGGTCTGATGACTCAATCTTTTGTTTTGTTGTCGCAGTGGAGTATGATGTTCCAGAAGACACATCAGGGGACGGAAATGAAGATCCTGTAGTTGTCGTAGTCGCAATCGTTGTAGTTGTCGATTCAGAAAATGCTGTCTGATTTGTGACACTACTGTTGGTTGAAGTTTTGGTTGTTAGTTCAGGTTTTTGGGTACCAGTTAATGTTCCAGCAGTCCAAGAAATGGATATGTTGCTGTCTAAGGTTTGCTCTACATCATTTTGTGTATTGGAATCAATGGTGGTAATGGAATCATTGTTTGCATGAATTGAAGTCAGTGTAGGTGTCTCAGATGTTGTTGATCTGTCCGTGCTAGTTGTTTTAGCACTTCCTGTTGAACTGATCCCATCTTCATTGTTTAAGGGCTCGATTGTCTGAATTGCAGTTATTTGAGAAACAGTCATGGAAAGGTTTGGAGAATAACTGGCAGTAAAAGTAGAGGTAGTTTGGCAGCAGTCTGGAGGAAAGTAAGAATTCAAGATTCCTGCAAATAAAAACAGAAAATACTTGTTGAAATACTTGCGATAGACAGGTACTGTAAATATTGCAAGTGATACTGTGAGAGGTATTATAAAAAAGTTATTATATGACATGGAAATTCAGTATGAAATTCATACTCGCCAAAAGTACCATTGAAAAGCTTGGACACAATTGACTGAATTTGTGTTTCAATTTGATCTAAAAGCTTCTGATTATAATTAGTTTTGTAAATTGTGCCTACATATGAGTGTTTGGTACTTTTTTCTGTTGCTTTTATGTAAGTTGCTTTGGATAAAAGTGTCTGCTAAACGCATAATTGTAAAATTGTTGTTAATGTTTTTATTTTAATGCATGTCACATTTTGCTCATTAAATCATTCCCATACTTCCATTTGTGTTATTTCATAGTTTTCATTATTTAAAAAAAATGGCTATAAAAGTGTGTTCAAACATTGGACTTTTCATGTATATAAAATCTGGCATATCGATATATTGAAATATTACAGAATTGAATGACAATCCTTTTGATGCATCAGAAACTGAACCACTTGCAGGTCTTTAAGCGTGTCGTCCTCCTGCGTCATCACGTCTAATCTGACACAAACGCATTGATCACAACTCACCCCAGAAGAGCAGGAATGCTGCATTACGCCCCATGGTATCCTGCATGCTTCCCAAATCTGAAAAGCAAATATTTCACTGTCAGCAAGTCTTTT